GCAATAAAATGTAACAGTACGAAATCAAAGTTTCTACACAAAAAAGAAAACTTTGCAGTGAAGGATTCAAAACAAAAGATCCCCATCTATGCACATTAGCAATATTGTCAAGGATTGCAATTCTTCTATTAGTCACAAGATGTTTTAAAAAAGAAGAAGTTCGCAGATAAACGCGACCAAAGAAAAAGGTAACTAACCATAGCATAGTTTCATGATTTATTCATATAATGCAGTCATGACATCCTAAGATAAAAACTTATTTCTCCAAGCCTTCCCATCAAGTTATTGCAAAAACTTCTAACTATCGCACCGCGGTCACCAGGGTGACAAGACAGATTGATCATACATATATTCTTCATGTTGAAAGGCTTGGGAATCCTACCGTCGTCACTTGGGATTCCTGAGAGCAATGATTATAGAATCCCTCCACGAAACATTTTACTGATGAATCTATCTTGTTAACAGGGAGGGCCTTTTTCTTTCCTTTGCCAGTCTTCGGCATCTGCAGCAAAAACATAACAGACTTTTAGAGCGATATGCACTGATGCAAACTAAAAGTTAGTTTGGAAATTAACAACAATACCACCACCACCACCACCACAGCAACAATTATAAAACTACTTACCACAGTCCACATCTCTCTGATATTTTCTAAAAAACCATGTTACATTGGCGGTCAAAGCTTTCACCCGCCCAAGTAGCTTCTTATTGTTACGACAATTTATAAGGATCTGTGAAATGGCAAACTACAAGCCATTTGCATTTTTTTTATCAATAACTGTAATCATGAGGGAAGACTGATAAATTATGCATATAAATATGCAAAGACATAGTTAACAGAGTCTCAAAGCATGATATTTCCATCAGGAAACCCCATCAAGCTAGCTAAAATATTACCGCATAGGTAGATTGTCTGAATAAGTATAATCAAGTACAAAAGCTTTTCGCAATTTCGTGTATAGGGCCTTGAGTAAAGATTTATTGCTATGAGATACAATTCATCAATAAACTATTAGAATTAAGGCTGGATGCCAGAGAAGACAGCAAGGGTACTTCATCAACTTGTCGACTTCTTTTTTTTTTCTACATATCAAAGGAAAATGTAGGAATCGTATATTATAACCTGGGTATTGTTTTTAACACTCATTACCAGAACAGAGAGAGGTCCTGTATTGAATTCCTCTTCCTCCCTTTTCCCAACCTGTTCCGAGAACTGCGCTTATATTTGAGCAAACATAGAAGTATAATCATAAATGTTAATATGACATATTATTATAAGCATAAAGGACAACAATACATGACTAGTAATACTGTAAATAGTTATCTTCCATTTGTTTAACAACTCCTGTAACATGTTGTATTACAACTACGTAATAAAATTCTAAATAGAACAAGACAAATGGATTACTCATGAACCAGGCTCATACGAAATGGATATATGACCCAAGTTGGCATGTAGTCTAAGACCTATTCCAGACCCGTCCATGCAATGGATCTAAGTTTTCCCTAACCACAATGTAAAAGAAGATCCTCCATCAATTTCATTCTAATTCCTCCGCCGCTGAGGGCGTAGTGACTCTCTCAAAGAGAGCCCGCCAGAGGCGACGTCAATGCCTGGCGCGGCAAATCGCGAAGGCAATGGAGTCCACTGACGGAATCCGCTATAACGCTGATCTGAAGAGCAGGAGAGGCAAACAGCCTCAACAAACAATGAATGGCAGCTCCTCCAAGCCGCCAACGTCCTAAAAACCATTTCAATCATGGTCGATCAAGCATGAGTAAAGATAAAACCTGCAGTAATATTCTACCTGTGTTAAAAGTTCGAAGCAAATTGTAACAGTTCGTGAAATATCAACCTCTATTGTACGAATGGAAATAAGTAGGGAAATGACATAAATTGTTACCACCACTGAGTTCCATGTGATACTACTCGTGGATTGCAGCCATTCTACCAAAGTCCAAATGGTTTGCACATATGATCACCTAGTAATGTAATGTATCAGTGACAACAATGTACCACAGTTTTAGTGTTTGTGAATAACAATTATTTTGACTATTTTCTTTATGGCTCCGTTTGGCAAAGGGTTAATGAAGAAGGATTAAGGAGAAGGATTAACATAGTTAGCCCATTCGATAATCCGAATGATTAAATTATTAACCCGTTATATAAGTTTTATTTTAGTCCTTGTGATCAGTTTTAGTGTTTGAGAATAACAATAATTTTGACTATTTTTTTTATAATTAGAAGGGTTAACTCTTAATCCTTCTAAAAAAGAGTATTAGTAAACCCCTCATTTTGAGGGGTTAACTCATTTTAATCCCTCTAAAGGGGTTAGCTTAACCCTTTTATATTTTTTATGTTTGACAAATTATGGAGGGTTAACTCACTTTAACCCTTGTATATATTTTTTATGTTTGACGGGTTAAGAAGGGGTTAAGTCTCCTTAACCCCTCACTTAACCCTTTGCCAAAAGGTACCTATAGTTAGAAGGGTTAACTCTTAATCCTTCTAAATAAGAGTATTAGTAAACCCCTCATTTTGAGGGGTTAACTCATTGTAATCCCTCTAGAGGGGTTAGCTTAACCCTTCTATATTTTTTATGTTTGATAAATTATGAAGGGTTAACTCATTTTAACCATTGTATAGATTTTGTGTTTGGCGGGTTAAGAAGAGGTTAGGTCTCATTAACCCCTCACTTAACCCTTTGCCAAACGGTATCATAGAGACTAAGGGGGTGTTTGGTTCAATTTCTATAAATTATAGGAAATATTTTCCACCCAAAATATGATTTCCTTGTATTTCTTAAAAAAATTATAGGAAAAATTTTAAGAAGTCAAAAAGTAACAATTTTCTTATTTTTTATACTTTGCTTGGTTGGTTCAAAACAAGAAAATGACTCATAACTTTATAGAAAATGGGTATGGGACGGGTTTTGTTGATTAAATAAGGAAGGTGTCAGATTTCCTGTTGATTTCCTCTCATTTTGAGAGGAAATTGCTTTTTGTAAAATTTGGTAGTTTTTGATATTTTATAAAAAATATTTCTATAAATTTTTTGTTGAACCAAACACAATTTACAGAAATCTATAGAAAACTTTTAATTACAAAATTGTCATTGTCAGATATTTTGAGAAAAGTTTTCTCAAAAAGTATACAACCAAACAGCCCCTAAGAATGTGAAGTGCGTACGTGAAAGATTCTTACTTTAGGATTCTCCAAAACTTCTTGAATAAAAATCCAAAATTAGTTTTACAAAAATTAAATTTGAATCCTCAATTTTTAGAAATTAAAATTTCCACAAAAAGTAATATTTTCTAAAGTAATTTCTTTCAGAAACCAACTCTTTGAAAAACTGATTTCAATTTGGTCAAATTGATTTCAAAAAATGTTTTAATGTTATTTTCGTATAACTTTAACTTTTTATATGAAAAAAATTTATGGAAACTATTTTCACTAAATATGGTAGCGCGTGACTAAAGGCTAATTTAGGTAAATGTTTTAGAGAGTCCAAAATTTTGTGGAAACAGATCTTTTCTTTCTCAATTGGGGTTTGCTAGATTTTGGAAACTTCATGATTAGATCATATATAAGGTAAGATATAAATTGATATAGTGAAGGAATCTGGGTTATTTTTCATGTAATAGCCTGTTTGTTTGCATGGAAGCAATTATGAAGTAACTGAAGTAAAGATGCCACTTCTGCTATTTCCAAGCAAAAAATATACTTGTTTCTCTAAAAAACCTATTTTCAATACTTTCTTAAACGCTAATGTGACGCCTACGTGTCATCTCTACTTCCTAAATGTTTTTCGGCCCCTCGAGACTTGGAAGTAGTCCGGAAGTAAGTGAAATGTGCATTAATTAGGAAATAAATAATTTTTCTCATTAATATTTTCTTTATTAGTTACTTCATAACAACTTTTCATTGCTATCCAAACAAAAAAAAGGAAATGAAGAATAAGAAGTATTATTTCGACTACTTTAAAAAATATGTGAAATAAACAAAAAAATATTACTTCTACTACTTCCTACTTCATAAATTTGAAAGTTACTTTTTTGATTTATTTTCTACTTCCGGTACTTGGACCTAAGTCGGTGATATCTGACTTATTAGAAAAGAGAGAGAAAATTCAATTTATAAACCTCTCTTTCAATTTTATTATGGAACTCTCAATGCACAATTTTTCTTTTATAAAACTTGCAGTAAGACCTCACCAGCAATGCCAATGCTTACTTTAAAAAAAATTATCTCGTAATATTTATAAAATAAAATGTCATAGATGTTAGGATATAAAATTATAACCTATGTATTCATGCAAATTTTTGAGTTTTGGTACATAATAAGGAACTTCAAACGATATGAGATTAAACAAGATTAAAATACCATTTGATATACATTTTTTACGAGTTTGAACTGAAATACTCAAATTACAGTAATATATAAGAATATAGAATTTCTGAATCAAGTTTACAGTGATATTTTATTTCTTATTGGACCTTAGCCGTTGTTTTGTGAACTTAGCTATCCTAATATTAGATCAAAAACTTCATCCTAATCTCTTTTTCCCACCTCATATTTTTTATGGCGCCTTTGGCGCTGACAGGAATCGAACCAAGCCCCCTATGAGGGAGTGTTGCGGCTTTGCCATGTGAGCTATTGGGCCGTCCCTTCTCACACCTCAGATTTAAGTTCCTGATTTTTTTCCCCTTAAAATTAAAAATCTCTATGCATATATGTAAGCTTCCATTAATTCTCCTTTTTTTCCTTTCCTTACTACTTTCTTTTTTCACTTCTTAGCCTTCAATTATTCGCTTATAGGATAATTGGGTAAGGGAGGCACATGACCCCACTACTACAACATAAAACAACCTTTTAATCGTATTTATTGCGATTTTTGCCCAATTTCGGACTCAAAAGCTCAAAATTGTCTTTTCCCACTTTCATGATGTGGCACCCGTTTTCTTCAGCCCCTTGCTATAAATTCTTAAATCAACCAAACTACATAAATGAAAACATATTGGCCACTTTATTTTCCATGGTGGCGTGGTAGGTGTGTCACTGTCAGGTCGTCGAAATCTAACCCCTTTTATGGGGTTCGCAAGCGAACCAAACAACCCCTTACCATTCACTTATTTCCGATCTTTGAGATTGTGAAAACAAATTTTTGGGAACTTCATGATTAGATCATCTATAAGGTAATATTTTATTTAATTTGACATGTAAAGGAATCTGGTTATTTTTTATGTAAGTAATTGGAATTTGTTAGGAATTTAACGCCGAAATCCCTAATGCAACGAAAACACAGAATAGAAAAAGGAGTACACCAAGTTTTAACGAGGTTCGGCAACTGTCTACGTCCTCGGGAGCCACATAATTAATTTTTTATTAATCTAACAAGAAATTACAATTCAAGAGCAAATCCCTAAACTGAGATTTCTCAAATGAACACTGTAGCTACAGTGTTAATAGTTAAAGGGAATAAACCCTTTCAATTCTCTCTTG